AAATATTCTAAGTTTTGTTTCTGGTCAATCTTTATCGGACGTCCGATGAATTGGAACGGACGTCCGACAGTGTTCTTCATCTAGTTTCAGAAAAACCCTGGTTCGGACGGTTGTGTCGGACGCTTCACTTCGTTCGGACGTCCGACACTAAAAAATTGAACCCTATAAGGCAGTTATCCATTCTTTCCAGTTCATTCTCTTCCATAGTGTCGGACGCAACCTTTCAGTTTCCTGTCATATTTGAAATTCAAATTCCTCTCTCATCAATCCAAGTTCCAAGAAATTGACTCAACCAACTCTATTACACCTCTATTGATCATTAACCACTCATAAGAATCACTCCTAACCCCCAACTATCCCAAAACTCTCAATTTACATACGAAACCCTAACTTCACATAATTCTCTCCTTGCGACATTTTAGTGCATTTTAGTTGGCTCATACTGCACTCTTCATCTATACACCACATTCTGCGTCAAAAACCATATCCACATTGCATCATGGTTAGAATCAGAGGAGGATCTACTAGTGCCGGACGGTCCTTTAGGCTTAGAGATGAGAATATTGAAATTGTGGAACCATCTACTGAGGCACCTAAAAAGAAGATGGTGACCCGTGGTGGTAAAGTAAAGCAAACTGCCCAAAGAAAACTGGTTACTCCAACTGGTGAATCATCTGATGAGCAGATGGAAGGGCAGAACTCTGAAGGGAACATTGTTGGTGGAAATGAGGAAGCAGAGCAGACTATCTAGGGTGATGAAACTGTCACAAGGTCATCTGGAAAAGAAAAGAGAACTGCAAAAAGGAAGAGCACTCCCTAATCCAAGAAAAAGCCATCTGCTGATCCCTCTGTTGATCAGCAGAATGAGGGAAATACTGCTGAGAATCAGCAAACACCTGAACCCTCCACCAGGAAGTCTCCAAGGACAAGATCTGAAACTCAAAATGTGGAGGCATTTGCCACACAAACCTCGAAAGGGAAACGCTCTAGAAAGAATCCAGTATCTCAGCCCGTAACAGAACCAACTCCTCTTCCAAAATTCATTGATGATGAAATCAGAGACAGATATGAGTTAGTCTCTCAAAAAAGGTTCATCATCTAAAGGCTCATCCTTCCCAACGAATTTCGTAAGCTTGATCTTGAACCTGTTATTAAACTGTTTGAATTCCAAAAATAGGTTCATCTTCTGACCATTCCTAATACCTTTTACCCTGACATGCTTTATCAGTTCTTTGCTAATTTTAGAAAGGGTAACTCACACACAGAACTCATCTTTAGGGTCAACTCTGTGAACATCACCTTAACACCTGACATTGTAAACTCCATTTTGAAAACAAAGATTGAAGATGGTTACAAAAGAAAAATTGCAAACTTCTTTTCGTATGAGGAATTCCCTTCTGCCTATCATCATTTTTACAATACTAAACTCATGACATATTTTCAAACAAAATTCAACACTCCTGCTGAGGCAAGATTAGATGATCTCAGTCCTCAAAATCTGATCATCTTCACCATCATTTCAAATCTGTTGGTGCCAACTGACGGCCACAGAACAGATGCAAACAAAATGGAACTCTATCTTTTCTACTGTTTTGTTGAAAAAATCCGTATTGACTTTGATTTTGTGATGTGCAAGTTTCTGCTCAAAATTAGCACTGATAGTTGTAGAAAGTTCTCTTATGGTAAATTTCTGAATCCTATCTTTGCTCAGTTTAAAATACTTTTTTCTGGAAAATCTCCCAAAAACAGTGCTTCAACAGTTTTTTCGAAAACTTATTTTGAAAGAAAGAACTTAAGATTTTTTGATGGCCATTGGTGCTATAAGGAGACTGTGACTGAGTCTAGAAGGAAAAATTTTCATGAAACCCTTGTCACTCCTAGGATTTCTCGTGATCAGTCAGACTATGTTTCTCCTTTCACCATTCATTCTAGAAAGTCTGCCAGCAAGTCCTTATCTTCCAATTCTGAAGTCATATCCTTGCTTGAAGACCTCAAACAGCATGTCTTGCTTATTGAAGATGGTCTCATGATGACCATGACCCCTGCTCAACAATCCTCCTTCATTGAAAAAAGAAACCTTCTTGTCCTTCCAATACCTGAAAATAATGCAAATGTTCATGGGAAAGAGCCAAGACCTGAGCCCACATGGCCAACTACTGGTACTGAGACCACACCAGCTTCCAGTTCTCAACCCAAGGATATAGGGAAGGCTCCAATAACTGAGGAAGCATATGAAGATGATGATGAAGAAACTGAGGAAGAAGAGAACCCTGAACAGTTTCGTCTGGCCAGGAGGAGGCCTGGATCATCTAAAATCACCATCTTGGCACTACTAGGTCACTGCACCTTAATCTAGGACTATAGTTCGTCTTTTGCATTGCAAAACGTTTCGTATGCTATGTACTAAGTGTTGTACTCCTGGTTTGTACAACTGGATATTTTCTACGGTTTATGGATGTTATGACTAAGCGTTTGTTATGAATGTTTGTTATGGATGGTTGTTATGAATGGTTGTTTGTTATGGAATCTGCTAAATGAATGTGTTTGTTATGAATGTTTCTGTTGATTCCAGATTTTGCTGAACATGAATGAATTTTGCTGATATTATCTGATTGAAAAATCCGTGTTATCAAATTGCGTGTTATAGTTAATGTTTCTGTTGGATCGTACTGATGTTATCTGATGCTGCTGGTATCAAAACTGATACCCACTTTTGTGATGATAAAAAGGGAAAGAATTGGATTAGCACTGATGGTGTAGAGTAACTAGTTAGGGGGAGTCAGTTTCAGGGGGAGTTGCGTTTCTTCCTGTATACTCATGCACCTCGTTAGGGGGAGTTGTTATACCCCAATTCGTATATTTTTGTTCTATCCAAATGTTTTGTTATCATCAAAAGGGGGGGAGATTGTTTATCTTAATTCATATCTTTTGATGAGTACAAAATAAATGGATGTTACTAATACTTTTTGTAGAGACCTTTTTCAGAAATGACACTAAACAGGTCTGTGGACTTAAAGCAAAAAAAAGATAAAAAAGGATGAAAAGTACTGAGGAAAATGTCGGACGCACAAAAAGAGAGTATCGGACGTCCGACATCCTTTGAGTAACTTCGGACGTGTGAAGAACTCAGACTCGGACTTCTGAAGAGGACAAGCCAGGGCTTCTACGATTACTGATCACGATCGGACGCTCAACACCTGAGTATCGGACGTCTGACAAGCGTTGCTGTACTTCGGACGCAACACATTGGACGCATCGGCCGTCCGAAGGAATTGAAGAGGAACTTCCAAGTGTGCATCTTACCCTCGGACGCATGGTGATAGGGGATCGGACATCCTAAGAAATTCAAGAAAACTTCTAAAACTCATTGATCTCGTTCGGACGCATAAAAACTGAATATCGGACGTTCGATAGCACCAACGGCTAGTTGACTCTTCAGTTGCGTTCTATCCGTTGACAACATTAATTGAAGAATTTCTTGGTCTCCTTTAAAAGGAAAAAAGTCAACCACCTCAGAGTAACTTTGTACATCAAGTCTACATCAAATCGTGAGTGATTCTAGTGTTAGAATACTCAAAAGGAACTCTTGTATTCTCAGTTTGTGCAATTTTATTGTAACTTTTCAGGTGTGATATAGCTTCTTCAATAGTGTAGCATTGTGAGGATTATTTGAGTGTTTGTAAAACTTCCTTGCTTGACCAAGTGTGGTTTGGGGCAAGAAGGAAGTGATCCTTCCCTTGTACACAAGATATTGGTTGCAAGTCTGTTCAACCTGAAGTAGCTTGTTATATAAAGTGTATTTCAAACTCGAGTGGAGTTTGAAACCTGATTTGTCTCTCTACTTCTGTTTACAGCTCTACTCTATAAACTGTTCATCTCTTCATTTCACGAACAACTGAGCTATCTTGTAATCTGATCCATTGAGTGATTTTCGAGAAAAGAAGGGCAGGCCAGAAAAAAAGTGACCTATATCTTATCTGGTTTTAGAAAATCTAATTCACCCCCCTCTTAGGTTGTTTTCGATCCTTACACCGGTGAAGCAGAAGAAGAGGAGCTTTGCCCTAGAAAGGAACGAGGTGATCCGGAGGGAGGTCGACAGGCTGCTGGAATCCAAAATCATCCTAGAGATGTATTACCCGACCTGGTTAGCTAATCCTGTCCTGGTGAAGAAGGAGGACCAGTCCTGAAGGATGTGCATGGAATTCACGGATCTCAATAAGGCCTGTCCAAAGGATTGCTTTTCCCTGCCAAAGATCGACAGGTTAGTGGATTCTACTGTGGATTTTGACGTTTTGTGTTTTCTGGATGCTTTCAAGAGATACCACCAGATAGAAATGGCCGAGGAAGACCGGGAGAAGACCTCCCTCATCACTAAGGAAGGAACTTACTGCTACCGGACCATGCCATTCGGGCTAAAAAATACTGGAGCTACCTACCAGCGCCTGATCAACAAATTGTTCCAGAATCAGATCGGCAGGAGCATGGAAGTCTACGTGGATGACATGATTGTCAAAAGCCGAACTGACCAGCGGCTCATCCCCGACTTGAGGGAGATCTTGAGTATCCTATGGGAGAGTCGGATGCGACTGAACCCGAAGAAATGTACCTTCGGAGTTAGGTCAGGCAGGTTCCTAGGATTCTTGGTGTCCCGAGAGGGGATCCGAGCCAACCCGTATAGGCTCCAGGCCATCCTTGACATGGCCCCTCCGAGGAATATAAAGGAGATCCAGCGGCTCACGGGAAGGATGGACGCCCTGAATAGATTCCACTTGCGCTCCGCGGTGAGGGGGCTACCCTTCTTTCGAATTTTGAAAGCACCTAAGGACTTTCAATGGATTGAGGAATGCCAGAAAGCTTTCGTCAACCTAAAGGCCTACCTGGCTGAGTTGACTGCTCTGACCGCCCCGGAGTAGGGAGAAACTCTGTTCCTATACTTATTCGCTTGCAATGAGGCCGTTAGCGCGGTTTTGGTGCGGGAGGACAAGGGAGCTCAGAGGCCAATGTACTACGTCAACCGTGCTTTACAGGGGCCGGAAACGCGGTACACACCGGCAGAGAAATTAGTCATCGCCTTGGTGCATGCCGTCCGGAAACTTCGACCTTATTTCCAGACCCACAACATTGTTGTCTTGACGAATCAGTCCTTATGGCAGATACTCACGAAACCTGAGGTCTCGGGTAGGATGACCAAGTGGGCCGTCGAATTGGTCGAGCATGACATCAGCTATCAGCCCCGTACTGCTATCAAAACTCAGGCCCTGGCAGACTTCCTTGCTGAGGGGGCAAGTTTGTCCATAGCTGAACCAAACTCTCCGCCCACGGAGGTACGGCAGGAAGAGCCGTGGGTACTGTTCGTAGACGAGGCCTCAAGTAACGAAGGGAGCGGTGCCGGAATGCTGCTCACCTCGCCCACTAGGGAAGAGCTGACCTACGCACTTCGATTTGACTTCCCGACGTCCAACAATGAGGCCGAATACGAGACCCTATTGACAAGGTTGCGGATAACCCACCAGATGGGTGTAACTGCGATCAAAGTCCGGAGCGACTCTCAGTTCGTAGTCAACCAAATCCGCGGGAAGTACGAGGCCAAGGAGAACGTCATGAAGAAATATTTGTCTAAGGTACGGGAGGCGAGAGTCCTGTTTGACATTTTTGAGATCGAGCGGGTGCCGAGATCACAGAACAAGCGGGCGGACGCCCTGTCGAAATTGGCGTCCTCCTCGTTTGCCCACTTGAGCAAGGAAGTCCTGGTGGAGGTGGTCAAGCTGAAAAGCATTGACCAGGTCCATGTCTTGGCTATAGACAACCCGGCCTCTTGGATGACCCCCATCGCGGATTTCCTCAACTCGGGTGCCCTCCCTGAGAACAAAATCGAGACCCGCCGACTGCAGTTCAGAGCTGCTAAGTACGCCTACGCTGGGGGGACCCTCTATAGGAGGTCGTATCTGTCTCTCTGGCTAAAGTGCGTGACTCCTGAGGAATGCGACTACATCTTCCGTGAAGTTCACGAAGACTTATGTGCAGCACATGTGGGATTCCGGCTGTTGGCCAAAAAGTGTATGCTCTTAGGCTACTATTGGCTCTCGGTGTTTCGAGATGCCGCGGCACTTGTTCAGAAATGTCGAGTTTGCCTGGTGCACGCCCTGCTGCGCCACCAGCCAGCTCGGAAAATGATTCCCATCCATAACCCATAACCCTTTGCTCAGTGGGGGATAGACCTCTTGGGGCATTTCCCTCGAGTCCCGGAGAGATACGAGCACCTCGTGGTGGCTATCGACTACTTCACAAAGTGGATGGAAGCGGAGCCTCTGGCCACTATCTCTGGAAAGGCAGTTCAGAAATTCTTCTGAAAAAACATAGTCTGCCACTTCGGGATTCCGCATGTCTTGATATCTGACAATGGGCGCCTGTTCGCCGAAAATCCCTTCAAGAATTGGTGCGCTGAGCTCGGGATCAACCAATATTTCACATCGGTCGGCCACCCCCAGGCCAATGGCCAGGTGAAAAACGCTAACCGAACCATTCTGCAAGGATTAAAGACTAAGTTGGAACTGGCCCAATCTAACTGGTTAGATGAACTCCCTAGTGTCCTCTGGGCTTACCGCACTACCCCCAGGACGGCCACTCGCTAGACCCCGTTCTCCCTGACTTATGGGGTAGAGGCGGTAGTGCCCGCGGAGATCGGTCTCCCCTCGCCTCGGACACAGAACTTCGTTGCGCCAGCCAATGAAGAAGAGTTGAGTTGTAACTTGGACATGTTGGAGGCCAAGCGCGAGGAAGCGGCGAGACGGATGGCTAAGTACAAAAGCCAACTCGCCCGCTATCATAACGCAAAAGTACGGAGCACGCAGTACCAACCAGGAGACCTCGTCTTAAGAAAGAACTCTATCAGCCGAGTTCATAGTTCCAACAAACTTGACCCGAATTGGGAGGGACCATACAAGGTCCTAGAGGCGAGCCGAGTTAGGTACTGCAGGCTTGCGAAACTAGATGGAGTAGAGGTACCACGCATTTGACACTTCTCGAATTTGCGATTGTTCGTGAAATAGATTGGCCCAGAGTATCTTACTGTCTATCCTACACACAATAAATGTTCCACACACAAGTTCATCATTGAATAAATGTTCGACTTTCAAGTTTTAAGTTCATCGTTATTGATGCCGTTTAACTTTTAATTTCAAATCCTACACTAGCACACTCAGACAATGGTAAGTGTCCTAGTGGTGGGCTTGGATGATGAATGGTAATGAATAGAATGTCTTTAAAGTTGGTACCCGACCCGGGAGGTCGGCATGGTTTAAAACTTTAAAGTCTGGTGTTCGGCTCCGGAGGCCGGCACGTCATAAACTATTTTGATGCAGTTTGTTAAAATCCGGGAGTTCGACGTTCAACTCAGGAGGTCGGTATGGTTGTTCTGGAAGTTTGAAAGTGGGTGCTCGACCCAGGAGGTCGGCGTGGCTCAAAACTTTAAGATTTGAGAGTCGGAGGCTCGACCCGGGAAGTCAGCACACCGTGACTTACTTTGAAGCAGTTTGTTAAAGTCTGGGAGCCTGACGCTCGACCCAAGAGGTCGGCATAGCTGCCTTGAAGGTTTGATGTTCGACCCCGGAGGCCGACACGTCATAAACTATTTCGATGCAGTTTGTTAAAACCGGGGAGTTCGACGCTCGACCCAAGAGATCGGCATGGCTGCCTTGGAAGTATGGTGCTCGACCCAGATGGTCGGCACATCGCGACTTAATTTTAGATAATTTGTTGACGCTCTAGTTTATGGTCCTTGACAATTTAGTTGTTAATTTAAAGTTTAACAGATGCTCGACTCGGGAAGTCGGCATACGAGGAGAAGAAAATGGCAAATAGAGTCGGATGAAATTTGGCAACTCCTATTTATAGGGGGTGAAATGGGGGGAAACGGCTGTCTGAATTTGAATCGCCCCATGTGAACGCATTTAAGAGCGGTACGGAAACCGAAGAGACGCGATAACTGAAAGGACACGGGGGCAACTTTTTCAGTAACGACACTGTACCGGAGGTGACCACGGCAGAGCAGTGCGACGCTGAGCTCCCACGTGGCAAGGGTGTAGATTAGGTCTGCTTGGAAGCCCTACCTAATCTAATGGGCTAGTGCAGAGACCCCGTCCTGGACCTAGGCACATGGCAGCCCAGGAAGGTCGGAGCTGGGTCTGGGCCCCAGGCCCCTAACAACCGTCCTGGGGCACACCAGCACTAGGGCTCCGAGAGGCTCTGGGAAACAATCCTGCAGAGGGCGGGGAGAATCCCCTTCAGCGCGGGATTGAGGTTATCCCGGGCAGGTCTCGAAACGTACGGAGGTAGGACTCACAAGCAGATATAAATGGTAACGCACACCAACTACACAAGGTACGCTCATTATCAACATACTACTCCCGACTCTTTATTTCCCGAGAACTTCCCTTACCGGAAAACTCACTTAACCATCGGAGTGCCCTCGGGGACAACCTCGGGGCCTCCTAGTTAGACCACTCTCTTATTTGCTTTGCAGGTTTGGGACACGCTCTTCTCATCAGCACGCCGAGTTCATCAGGTCAGTTCGATCAGGGGAAACTCAGCGCTTCTTCAGTTCCCACGGTAATGAATAGAATGTCTTTAAAGTTGGTGCCCGACCCGGGAGGTCGGCATGGTTTAAAACTTTAAAGTCTGGTGTTCGGCTCCGGAGGCCAGCATGTCATAAACTATTTTGATGCAGTTTGTTAAAATTCGAGAGTTCGACGTTCCTGGAAGTTTGAGAGCCGGTGCTCGACCCAGGAGGTCGGTGTGGCTCAAAACTTTAAGATTTGAGAGTCGGAGGCTCGACCCGGGAGGTCGGCACACCGTGACTTACTTTGAAGCAGTTTGTTAAAGTTTGGGAGCCTGACGCTTGACCCAGGAGATCGGCATGGCTGCCTTGAAGGTTTGATGCTCGACCCCGGAGGCCAGCATGTCATAAACTATTTCGGTGCAGTTTGTTAAAATCGGGGAGTTCGACGCTCGACCCACGAGGTCGACATGGCTGCCTTGGAAGTGTGGTGCTCGACCCAGATGGTCGGCACATCGCGACTTAATTTTACATAATTTGTTGAAGCCCTAGTTTGTGGTCCTTGACAATTTAGTTGTTAACTTAAAGTTTAACAGATGCTCGACCTGGGAAGTCAGCATACCACTTTGGCTGCTCTATTTGGTGCTCGACCCGGGAGGTCGGCATATGGTCTTGATTGTTAGAGTTGGCGCAGGCGAGAATTGCAAATCGGGATTAGATGATTTCATTCGAATTACGTATATACAACCTATCTATTACAAAACCTGTCGAACTATAAAAGGAAAATGGAAAGGGTTTCTGGAGTGGTCGCTACCCTTAGGCGGACAAACCTCTTGCAGGTGACTGCTGTCAGGAGGAAAACACGGCAGCAGGTTTCACATGGAAAGAGTTTCTGGAGTGGTCGCTACCCTTAGGCGGACAAACCTCTTGCAGGTGACTGCTGACATGAGAAAAACACGGCAGCAGGTTTCATATACTGGGAGAGTTGGTGATGCTAGATATCCGCACCCTTCACACTGGGGAAGATATGCTTTCTCTCTACTCCAGATGGAGAGTTCAGTGCCCCTTCAGATATGAAAACCTGGCTATGTACAGCTCGATCCCCCTAAACATCCCTAAGCCACCGGCTCTTTCCCAAGAGCTCTGTCGGAAGTTTCGCCCTCCTCCAAGGGAACCTCCGCTAGGTTGGTCCCCACGTCGCTCCTGCCCACCAGGTCCTTCAGGGAATGCCCCTTGCAGTACCCATTGAAAAGCCAGTTCAGCTTCTCCTCAGCCGCGGGATTGTAGTCCTTGAAGTCAGCTAAGTTGAAGCTAGGCAGGTTAAGGCCCTTCACCTGGTCAAGGGCTCGCGTGAAGCCGACCTGGAGGATGGGTTGGTTGAGGAGGGCAACGTCTTCGGCAAACTGTTTGGAAGAGATGAACTCCCGAACAGCCTTCTTGCGCTCCCGGCTGACGGTGCCGGAGAGCTCCATAGCGTGGTCCTCCTTCAGCTTCACCACGCCCTTCTTCTCCTGGTCCAACTCGGACCGGGCGGAGGCGAGCTGGATTTGGGTCGCTTCCAACTCCTTCTCGGCCTTGCCCATCTTGGCCTTAAGGGAGTCTGCCTCCTTAAGGGCCTGGGCAAGCCTCTGCTCTGTCTCCCGATTCTTCTTCTGCAACTTCTCCAGGTCGGGAGACGGTTCGGAGAAGCGGGTCACCAGGGCGGTTCCAACGGCATTGGCTTGAGGTGAAGAAAGAAGAGGTTAGCACAGCGTGATTTAGCCGAAAAGTGGTGGTACAACTGGCCTAAGCGGTAAGGAACTTACTTGAATTTGGGCGGTGAAGTACATATCTTGAAGCTCGGGCGGGCTGACGAGCTCCATCCACCTCTTGTCACGCGGAAGGACCGAACCCGTTACTAGCTCACGAGCCACCTCATGGAATTGGGCTCGGTCGTTAATAGACAGCCCTCAGGGGGGACAGAAGCGGCCGAAGTCGTGCATGGAGAGGGCCTGGCCTGGCTTCAGGAGGACGATGTGGCGGAAGTGCCACAAACTGGGGGGCGGCGTCTCCCGCGCGTGCTCCTCCGCGGACCCGACCCCCAAGTGGACCGGACCTGCATGAGGGGCGCCCCCCGACGTCAGCAGGAGAGGGGGCTGTGCTAGGGTGGGCGCAAGCCTCTTCTCGAGTTGAGGGGTTCCGTCCCCTCGGCCCCTCTTCTGTTCAGCCGCTTTCTTCTTGCTGGCGACCTGCTTGGAGGGAGAAGAAGAGTGAGATGCCTCCTTTTGGGGGCTCGAACTGCCCCCAGGAGCTGGGGAGGCCTTCTCGGCAGCTTCCTGCTACGGAGTCGGGGTGATCGGCTAGGAGGGCTCGCCCAACAACTTGGAAAGCTTTCTCACTGCAACACATACCACCAGGTCAGTTAGAATAAGAGGAAAGGGAAGACAACAGACAACAGTGGCACAGAGTCGGCATTACAGTTGTCGTGGTCGGTAGGGGAGGACACCACCTCTCCAGGGGACTTGGACAACGTCCCCATCAGCTCGGCCGCAGAAATCTGCTCGGTAGAGAATCTGGCGGCATAGAGTTTCACCCTGGAGCTCACCATTTAGCCGAGAACTTCGGAGTCCAGGTCCTCCGGGTAGGGGTCGGAGTCGACTT